AAAAAAATTCTCTGGACTTCACTAGGAAGTCATGTAGCAGGAAGACTCAGAAATGAGCACTTTTTAGTCATGTGGCAGTGAGGATTCTTCCAGCCAAGGGGATTTCCAGAGATGGATGGAGGATACTTCACTAGCTCTCTTCTACCTCCTTCTTCCTATCTTCTTTTAAACTATTTTTGACCTAAATGGTTGCAGCAGTTAATACCTAATGTAGAACATTGGAAAATTCCGAAGCATGTGAAGAAGATGATGATAAGTTTTACCCATAATCCCCTGCCCAGAGGCCTGGGCTTGCTCTTTATCTGAGCAGTGCAGGCTGGGTGTGGTCCAGCCCCTTTATGCAGCCGCTCCATTTACTCTGCAAGGTAACAGCAGCAAGACCAGGCTGCCTGCTCCTTCGCTTCTGGAAGTTTCACTGAGGGATCGGTGAGTTTCAGCTCTTGTGCTGTCTTTGCAAGAAGTGGCCAGGGGGCTGGGGGCCTGGGTCTCTCAGAGGCTGGTGCCAGGAGGAGGCGGCCATGCCTGTGGCAGTGGTGAGAGCAGCTGAGAGATGACAACTGGCAGTTTTCCCTCTGGGCTCAGGGTGCCACAGACTGTCTGTTCCTGTCTGGAGACCGCCCACTGAAGTGGCAGTAGACAGGCACCCGCCTCTCCCCTGCGCACGGAGCTTAAACAGATTTTAATAAAAAGTCAGACAACTTGGGCATCTGTTACTCCTCTTCTAGACCTTCTGTTCCCCTAGAGCTACAGGGAACAATCCATAGAAATGTGATTTCATACTCCAGTGATTTACATGTTCCTGGTCTTTAGTGGGGTAGGGAGGAGGACAGCCATGTCAGGGAGCATCTTTTGTGATTTGCAGTCCCAGGGGATGGCTCCCAAGTAGAGAACTGGCCGAGCAGTTATCAAGGATGGGAGGATACAGACTGAAGATGCTGAGGGAGCTCCAGCGCCCCCGTCACTCCCCTCCACCCCCTTCCACCCCACTGAAAAGGGGCTGCTGGAGGGGAGCAGTGAGGCAGGGGAGGGACAGGGCTGAACTTTGGAGAGTCAGGGGTGTGTCGTGCTGGCGGGAGGTGGCCATTTTCTTCTCTGTCGCCCCTTCATCAATGTAATATTGCGGAACTGAATTTGTTAGTGTGAGAGTTGTAGTTAGTTGCTGGGATTCTGCTCCCAAATAGGCAAGAATGGCTACTGGAGGGGGTCCAGTCACGGGTTATATAACAAAAGATCATTTTGTTTTAGAGGAGGTGATCTGGGCACTAGGGCTCCTGCCATGCTGCCTCCATGAACGCTCAGCACCTGACCCTGCAGTGGGGGGCTTCTTTGGGGCTCTTTCCCACTCTGTCCTATGAGCTCCCTGGGGTCTCACTTACCTCTGGGGTCACCCAGGGTCTGGACAGTGCCGCTTCGCTGAACTGCCTAACGTGTCTCAATTCACTGTTAATCAGGCTTCAGTTCAACTAACATTTATTCAGCCTCTATCTGACACCAGTCCCTGTGGCAACACAGAGAATAGAGAAATGCCCAAGACAGAAGCTGTCTGCTAGAAACTCCTAGTAATAGGTGGTTGCTGAAAGACAAAGTGAAATGACAGCATAAAGGTGATGCTGGAGCCCAAGAGACAAGGATGTGGGGGGAAAAAACTGCCCATCACCTACAGCCACAGGAGAAAGACAGGGAGCAAAGCTCTGGGCAGAGGCCTGCAGAGACAAAGACAGGGAGGTGACTTCCAGGTCCTAAGAACAGCTGCCAGGTCACTGCTAGGCAGGGAGAGGAGGAGGGTTCTGGGAGGCCTGGCGCCAGTGAAGAGACTGGGCCTCCAGCTACACGTTGGCCATCTTCTAGAGGAAGGAGGTGGGCAGAGAGAAAAAACCACAGGACCCCGGCTGGGGATAGGTGGGTTCGAATTGCCAAAATGGAGCATCTGTTTAGTGTGATAAAGCACATTCAAAATGGAAAGTTTGTGTTTGATGAATGAATAACAGAAATGAATACCTGTCACTTTTGCAATGCAATCTAAATTTGACTAGTCTTTGGCTAGAATAAGAATTATGAAAAATGAGGACAGAGCACTGCCTTGAGCCACAGGTCTGTATTTTTAGAACTGAGTTTGGCTACTGGTGGGTAAGAGAGGAAAGACTGTGAAAGATGTTGAAAGAAATGAAGAAACGGTGCATAATTCAGGGTGTGGTGCTCTGGGCAGGGAGGTATTTAGAAAGTAAAACCAGAGAACTAGGTGGCAGTTTAGGTGCGTAGGTAAGAAGGGGAGGAGTCAAGCCTGCCAAGCCTGTCTTCTAGACCACAGAGGAGGCATGGCTGGGGGCGGAGGGGAGTGCTGGGGGGAGGGTGTTGCTGGGTGCACAGTTGTCTGAAGTGAGTGTAAGCAGGTGGATTTTCAAAGTGGCCATGGGACATGGGGTGGGCAAGGGACCCTGTGCAGCTGTGACTTGTGCAGATTCATGGTTTAGCACTGAGACTTTAACCCCTGCACCACCAGGAAGGCACCAGATCATCCAGACTTAATCAGAGACGGATCCCCCAAGTCCAAACCCTTCCAACCTCCCAGTCCAGCTCCACTGCACACTGAACAGAGTGCATGTGGCCCTGGGTTGCTCTGTCTCCTAGGATGGGTCAGGCATCTTGGGACTTGATACTTTCGAGGGTGCCCCTCTGTGCTCAGGAGGTGGGTGACTGGAAATTGGGGTGAGCTAGTTTCTCAAAGAGCAACCTGGGGAAACTGAAGGATGAACAGGTGGTGATGCTGATCTTGATACTGCAGCTAGTACAGGCTCAGAGGGTGTCAGGCCAGTGCTGCCGGGCCCACCCAGCGCTGCAGCCCTGTCCCAGGCACTGGACCCCCCAAGGGCTCTGGCCTTAGCCTCTCTCACTCTCTTCTCTCATTGATCTGGGGCCTCCCTGGTGGTGCAGGAGTTAAAGTCTCAGTGTTATCAAGCTATCAGCAGCCACTGTGGCAGGAGTTTAATCCCTGGCCAGGGAGCTGACCCGCATGGCACAGCAGACCACTGCTGTTTCCCCACTGCTCCCCTCAGTAGTGTATTTCAGTAGATTCACCTTTTCTGCTCCCTACTCTGTCTCTGGTGAATCATCTCACCTCCTCTGTACCTCTGGGCTACACCCTAGTTCTTGTATGCTTGAATAAATACAAGTAAATTTTAAAAAACAAAAACAAAAAAAAAAACAACTTGCTGATCTGATCTTGCTGTCCTGTCCCTGCTGAGACTGAATTTGCAGTCAATGATTTGACAGTTTGGATACCAATGGGGAATATTTTACAAATAATGCATTTGCCTATTTCTCATGACTATTTTCATTTTAATCAGGGAATAACAACAAAATTCAATACATGGAGGTCTAATAGTAGGAATTTCAACATGAAAGGAGATTAGGATGGGAACTGTCTTGTTCAGTGCATATTTATCTGGGGGAGAGATGTCTGCTTATATGTGGGGCACCAGTCACTTCTGGGGGCAAAGGATTACTTGTCTAAGTGGACACAAATAACTCAGACTCTAGATAAATTCAAGCCTTGGCAGATTATGGACAGGGACAACCTCGCACCTCTGGCAGAGGCTGCTGGGGAAGGAGAAGTCTGGCGCTCCACATAAGACTAGAAGGCCGGTGGCCACCTGTCAAAATAGCATCCAGAGTTAAAGTCAGTAAATTCACTCTGGAGCCAGCAAGCCATGGGAGAGAGGGCTTCATGCTGGTGGGTAGTGGACAGAAGCAACATTAAGTGGCAACTGTGACCCTGTTCTAGCTAGAAATAAGACCAGTGGAAGGAGGACCCAGCTGGCAGCTGGACATGCAAAACATAGAGAATTGCTTCTGGAAGCAACTGCCAGTTCTCTAATGAGAGGGGTGAGCATCAAGCCTGGAATTAAGCGCCATGTCAGCACTGAAATGCTGAACCTTGGGCTTCTGGGCAGCTGGCCTCAGAGGGAATGCATGTCCTGGACTCTGGGCACATAAGCACACTGGACCCAAAGGTGAAGTGTCCCTCCATGGTGAGACAAGTCTTCCCAGCTGCTCCCCTGTGGGGTAGCCGGGCCAGGTGTGGAGCCAGGCTGGCTGAGGAGGCAGGACAGGCAGGGTCTGACCCCAGCACCATGTGGGGTGGGCAGGAGTGGAGGACACAGGCCCTTAGTCAGATAAGTATCCTACATCTTTCACTTAAGTGAAAATGGGCAAATATCATTTGTCTTTTTTTTTTTTTAATTTCAATTTCTCTTTTGGAAGCCCTTGATCCCCAGAGTATTTTGTAACCTGCTTTTATTTGTAACATATTTACATTTCTTCTTCAGTAGTACTTTATGACCAGTATTCAGGATGAAATAGTCTGGAATCTACTAATCTACTAATTCCTGACTTGGCAACTCCCAATCCTTCCCACATTGCTGGGATATGATATTCTTCAGGCTTCTTCTGCTTTTTGGACTGCATCCAGAATCACTCACAATAGCATTGTGAGTTTAGTAGCTGTTAGTTTGGGGTGTTGTCAGGAAGGTCACCCCTTTCAGCTCAGCAGCTCATGACAGCACTGGGCTGGTGCAGGGATCCCACATTCCACTTCCACCTCGCCCAGAGCAGCATCCCTCCTCCAGGCCTGGCGGGCCAACATCCAGCAAAGGGATATTCCAGTTTGTCTCTTGGAAAGGAATATTGATCCCTGCCATAGATACAATGAAGCTTTCCTTACAATTTTATAGCTACAATACACACACACACACACACATATTTCAATTCATTTTTAAGAATGTCTCAACAGTCCTTCAAACACATTAGTACCAAATGGTACTGCAAAACCCTGGTGCAGAGTTGCAGGGGTGTAGACAAGACCTGATATTTGTGTGGTTTGCATTTTCCAGTTCCTGCCTCGATGTCTGAATTCCTGTAGATGTGGTCAGCGTCCCTGACAGTGGAGCCGGGCACGCAGGCCGAGTGCTGAGAAGAGGTGGCCTGAGCAAGGCTGGTCCAGCCTCCTGGTAATTCATCGTGGATGGCGAGGGGGTGAGGGGAGGGGAGTGGGGTTGGGAAAAGTACATTTTTTGCTTGGAAGCATTTCACCAACAAGGGGTTGACTTTAATTACATCCTCATAAACTCCCCCAATCCTGCTGATTTAAGAACTCTCATGGAATCTAAGGACATTGAAGGTCATTAGCAAAACCCATTCACAGAGGCAGAAGTCCCTCTAGAGCACCCTGCTCTTGCCCTGACTCTGAGCAGAGAGCTCACCACCAGACACTGTGGCCTGCGTCATCTTCCCTGAATTGGGCAGTTTCCACTGTTGACTAGGTCTCCCCCAGAACCTCAGCTAAAACCTGCTTGCCTGTCTCAGCCACTTAGTTTCCTACTCCTGGCCCCTGTGTCTTTAAAAAAATCAAGCTAATCCCTCTTCTACACTGCAGCCCAACAGAAACGTGGGGTCACTGAGTGGAGGCATGTAGGACCGGGAGCCAGAGGCTGAGGGGACTGGCTGAAATCTTGACCCCACTGGTGTCTGTGTGATCATGGGCAAGCAAGTTAACCTGTGACTCAGTTTTTTTAATCTGTAAAACTAGGACAATAATGTCAACTTCATCGAGTGCTCTTTCAAAAGAAAATAACTCCTGAGTTATTTTAGAAGTGGCCTGGTGCTGTGGTTCTGCCACTGATTGG